GGTTTAGGTTCTTAGTTACTTTTAAGTAGTCAATCCTCGAACAATATGCAAGTAGTATATCAATCCACTTGTATAAAGAATTGCGGACACGATAATGAGCTACAGTAAGTGGAACGTATTAGGTAGGCAATCTATGCTAACTGTACTCATAAAATACTCATAATCTCTACAATTATGAATGGCCAATAGATCATCTATAAACAATGTCACCAATCAATAAATATTTCAGACATCAAGATTATTAGAGAAACCACAAATCACTGGTTTTGTCATTTAGTGCAAAATTAAGCAAATTCGTTTAGACTGTGTAATTTGTATTATTTTACTGGAAAGATGGCACCAATGGTGTATGTTCAAATTTTATTTTACTTATTAACATCAAAGATTTTGGAATGTATTGAGAAAACGCAGAGTGCCCCGCATTCGGCAATGTCCTAGATGGCTAGAGTTATATCAGTTTCTGGTGGCTAAACCTTTGATATCTAAAAATATTTGGAATATAAATATATAATGAACCTCTTTCCGCCTTGGTAGGGGGTCTACAGAAAACCATTTCAAGACTCCTTATATCGGGATCTGGATCCCCTAGCTTCACATCACCTAATTGAACATCGACGGAATTGGTAGAGAAAAATTTGAAATATCTTTCAAAATTACTACGTGAAAACAGAATAAACATTGTATTATACTCAAAGTAAAATGTACTATAAATGAAGTCCAGCTGTACCCAGTGGCATGCATTCCAGGATATAAACTCAAATTCGCAACGAGTAATTGAAGATTTGAACCTGCTACGTATTTCAAAAATAATATAAATAGCTAGAAGGTAATTGAAGCGTCAAATATAAATGACCTGTGCATATTAACAGTTGAAGTGACCGGGACCTTTGTATAAAATGTATATATGCCTCTGAACATAAAATTGCCCGTTAATTCCTCATCACTATGAAGATACACTGAAATATACACGGGAGACTTCAATATCCATCGCCAAGAGGTTAAATGAATAACAACCATAATGGTTACCTCCTACATTTATAGATTTACTGTGTGAATTTACTGATTTAATTAATTTTTTTTCGTTAAAAACATAATAATTTTCCACGGGGCACATTTTACTTCGCTTATTGCTTTCGTTGAAAAAAAAACAAACATTAAAAATATAACAAAATCTTGTAAAAACTGGTCATATTATTCAAACGGTATTATATAGTTTAGAAATAGAAATTTGAAAACCCAAGTAAAATGCTCCATGTAAGAAGTGTTTCTCTTTTCAAAAAAAAAAAATATATCGAAATCTGATTACTCTACAATGAATGAGAGTTTTTCCTGAAAGTTATTTTTTTAATCAAAAAAACAGATCACGTGCAGGCCCCTTAGAAAACAATTTAAACATGGTAAAAATTAATAATTTAATATTAATCTAAATTAAATAAAATATTTTACCATTCATACAGTTAAAATTTGGCAAAACAATTTTTTTTTAAAATAACGTTAAATTTAAAAAAGGTTTATTAATGAATGCAAATCGAGGTAAAAGGCGTTTAGGGAACATTTAAAAGAACGATTCCTCCAATATAAACTATGTTTTACTTAAATACTTTAAAAGATTGGAATAATTTTCTCTTATGTCCCATGTTACAGAATTCTATAATTTCTACGTAGAATTACCAAAATTTATTAAATCAATTGATATAAATGAAGCTTCAAGCTAGTGAATATTTATATAGATTATTTAAAAGTAGAATTGAGAGGAGAAATCATTCAATTAAAAAAATATTTTTCCATTGAAACAAAAAATACTAAAATACCTCAATAATTCGTCCATTTTCTTTAAACAAAACATTACCTCATGTTGAAATTTACATAAAAGTATTCATTTGTAAATTGTAATACCATATTATTCAAATGCAAGAAGAAAAAGTTGTTCCATTGTAAGTATTTAAGATATTCGACAGTAATTTTCAATCATTATTAGTCAAGGAAAAATATCAGCTTTATCAATATTATGTATTACAGATTAGGCTGACACAAATATAAATTGTCTAAATATTTAATTTTCAAAACTTAGCAGTGAACAGCTTTAGTACAGGTTATGTTAGTATTTAATGTCTTAAATATAAATTAAATCAAATGTGGTATTGAAAAAGGGGCACCAATAGAACCATAAGAATAATAGAAAATACTAGCATGCAGAAATTAAAAAAATATTTTGTTGAGTAGCTTTATTGATACGATTTTATCTCGAAAAAGAAATAAACTGTTATCAGTTGTCTGTGAATGGTATAAAATACTACTACAACCTACAATTGAGTATTTATTATTTAATTACTCTGAAGTCCGAGTGACTTTTAAAAATCCATTAACTTTAATGAAACTTTTAATTAGTATTATTCAAATATGGCGAGGCGTAAAAAAATTACATCTACTACTTAGTGCCACCCTAATGCGTGCATACTAACACTAAGCCACTCAATTTAATAAAAACAATTAGCTTTTTGAAATAATAACCTGTGTTATTCAATAACGCAGTATAATATATACAGTTTTTAAAAATCAAGCACCAAAAAATTAATAAAAACACGGTTATAATGCGCATCGCGGACGGACAACCCCAGAATTTCTGTTCCGGTTGTTATTAACAATTTTCCGGTAATAATGTGGTGGTTGGGGAAAATGAAACATACAAACACCAAAACCACCCTCTTTCGTCGTGATAGATCGTTATAATGAAATAACGATTTCGTTTTTAATTTCGTGACGCGCAGATTTCCATGAATGGACACGTTCGTCGCCGCCAACAACAACCCCCCAACCGCACACACCTCGGGCTGTCGGTGGAGGTATACCTAAATATATATATATATATAGTCATCCTTCAGCGCTCGCAGAATACCGTTGTCGGGGATGTGTTTTCAACAATGACACGAATGATAATGATTATTACAATAATAGTAAGCAGCATATTTACAGTAATGATATAATATTGCGTTATGTGGGCTGCACTGAGGGAGTGTATGTACTATGTATATATGTATGTATGTGTGTATGATAATGATATTATATACACGTCATGTAAATGGGAAGCGTGAGCTGATGACGACGACCAGACGGCGAAACGACGAGAGAGAGAGAGCAGAGACCGGTATTTAAAAATTCTTTATTCCCGTGCACCGTCATTGTGTGTGCGGTATGCCACTGGAGTATCCTCCACGAACACGCACACACACACACACACACACACACACACGCACACACACATACACACATACACACACACACAACGAGCACGCGTTAGTTTAAAATATTACAATATTATTTATATTGTATAGACGTCGTTCATCATCACGAGCGGTCCCTTGTAAAAACCACTGCTTGCGAGGGGCGGGCATATTTTTTTTATTTAAAACTGCGCGATGACAAAACAAAAACAAAAAACGTCTTGCGCACATCGGAGGGCTGATGCGCTGATGACGTCACGGCGGAGCGATTCACGGTAACGATAATTATTTGTAATGTAATGTACATGCAATCTGTTGTTATTATATTCGGGAACAATGGGGACGTCGTCGCAATAATACACACATCTACAGGTTAGTTATCATGTAAAGTTTGAAATATTGTAATTTGTAAGACCTAAAATTGAATAATAGCAGATACTTAGGTACCAAGAACATAATATTAGTTCCATTTGAGTCCCAGTTTATCTCCGAGTCAATATATTTCAACGCTGGTTTTTCAATAGTTAATATCAAATTTCTATGAAAATCCTAAGTGAATGGAATACAATTCTAAAAAGAATGCTTTCGTGTACATCAATTTTAAAATTTTAAAATACCTATTTCTTATATATTCTCTTTCAAACAATTTGTTTTGTTGAATATTGAAATTTAGTAAAATTGATCAAAATTAAATTTTTAATGTTTGTGAGGATAATATTTATGTAACTGAAAATAATAGTTTACTACTAAATCGTAAAATAATTAATTGTTTTGGATTATAATAGGCATATGCCTATACATTTTCAAAAATTAAATTTTTAAATATTTCATTAAAAGATCAACTTGAATCATGTTAATAATCTACTTTTACAGATTATTATCAAAAATTCACTTTGCAAAGAGATTAAATCAAACAAAAACCATGTGTTATAGTTTTTGCCATCATAATCTTCATATACCTTAGGTACTTACTTAATTATTCATTTTACAGTTTATACACCCACACTTTATTTTTGCACTGTAGGCACTTGCTTCCTCCCCAAAATCTTTTAAAAATGTTTTCAGGTTGTTTTATACTTTATTATATTATGTTTGGAAAAATTTAAAAGTTTAAATGGTCTTGTATTCTTGTTGGTAAATAAAATTGTTATACTATTCGAACAAAAAATGAAATGTTGTGTTGACAACACATATTGTTATATTGATAATATACTTACTATATTAATGAATACATTAATCTATATCTTGCAATAATGTTAATACATTGTTAATATGATAGATGTATATGTTAGCGGCAATGTGTATAATATATTTAATATATAAAATGCCTAGGAATTCTATATAATACCTGGTGGTTTTTAAAAAAGTGTATAGTAAATTTTTTTTTACACACATTTCCTAAATATTTTGTATAATAACTAGACATTTCATAAAATGACAAACAACAAATTGGCAATCTGTAGAATAGTGATATAACCCAAATAAATAGATTTCCTTCTATCATAATTATGACAATTATTAATTTTATTAGTGCACAAAAAAATATTTATTACAAAGTAGGTATCATTAATATTACAGAATATAATGCATAAAAATGAAAAAAAAATAATTTGTAAATTGTATGGGTAGTACTAACATGCAGTTATTAATTATTATTACTATTATATTGTTCTGTAAAATACAAAAATCTATGTAGAACGTAGGTACTTATTAGGAATAAATTATAATTTATTATTTTAAATTTCGTTAAGACAAAATAAATGTTACTAAAGTATTCTATAATTACAAAAAAAAACATTATATTTCATATGTTTAAGTTTATAAAAAGTTGTTAAATTTATTTATTACAACACTGTAAGTTAGGATGACATTTTGAATTGCAATGAACTTTATTTTTTAAACACTTACATCTGTTATTTTGACATCTTGTTGAACATGAACATTTAATAAAGCCTTGTCCAGATCCAGTTGCTTCTTGAGTGGCAATAGATCGTAAACCCAATTCTTTTTCGTGGTTTACTTCCTCTAAAGCCACAAAATTTTGTTGACAGACTGTAAATTGGGATCTGGCATAAAGTTGTTTCAGAACACCTAATGAAAACAAATACAAAAAATACAAATTAATAATTAAAAATTTACGAAATTATCAATCAAACAATAGGTACCTGTTTTATTTCCTAAACGATAAAATCCATCTTCTGTAACTTCCAAAACACACGCCAAAACATTATGAGCTTCTCCTCGTCCTCGATCAACATCTGAAATTGGTACTCTTACTGTGTTTCCAACGAGTGCTGGAAGGAATTTTTTATTTGATCTAGTTTTCATGTTTATAGCCTGTAATTCCAAATTACAATGTGCTTCTCTTCGCTGGTTTTCGGTTTTTTTAGTTCTGATACAAAGCTTACATAACAAGTCTTTCTCCACAGATATTGTGCCACTCGCATGGATTTTGCTATCACATGTTAGACATTGAACCATATTTTTATCGTTTTCTTCTGAGCACACCAAATAATTCCCCTTATTTATACTATTATCAACTGTACAAATATCTTCGTTAATCGTAATTATAATATCTTCGTCATTGCAGGTAGCAATATTTTCGTCGTCCTTAGAATTTACCGTATTTATATTATTATCAACTGTACAAATATCTTCGTCATTGGTAATATTATTTTCGTCATCTTGATTAGTTGGGCCAATGGAATATTGATCTACCAAATTAAGAAGGCTCTCTTCATCATCTAAATCTTTTAAAATATATGGTGGTAGAAATGATGTATCTAAACCAACTTTCATTTTACAACCAAAAAGTGCTTCGTAAGGTGACCTATTTATACCTTTATGATAAGCTCGATTTTTCATCAGTTGAATAAATCTTAGACCTTCACTCCACTTTGAAGTGTTATTGTCCCTCATCCATGTCATCAACATATTTTGAATGTCCTGGTTTGCCCGTTCGACACTTCCCTGACTTTGGGAATGTCGAGGTTTTCCATGAACGATTTTTAAATTGGGCCAATAATTTTTTAAGTTAGAAACAATTTGATTGGAAAATTCACGACCGTTGTCGGATTGTAATATAGAAGGTGCTCCAAGTAAAGTGAAAATATCAATTAAATTATAAGCCACTTCTTCTGCAGTTTTTGTCTTTAATGGTTTTATGACGACAAATTTAGTTAAATGGTCCTGATATACCATTATAAATTTAAAAAGTTTATCAGCATTTGATTGAAAATCGATCAAATCAACTTGACAGCGACTATTAAATTCACTAGAAATAATGGGTTTCACTACTAATCCTTTTCTAATTTTTTTGTGTTTTAATTGACACAGTTCGCATAATGACAAATAAAGATCTACTTCGAAGCGCGTAATATTTTTAAACTTACTATTAAGCTCATACAACATTCTGTCTCGTCCTCCATGTCCTAACGATTGGTGAGCATCATGTAACACATCAAAAACGTCACTTTCCTTTATATAATATAAAATATTGTTATCATTATTTTTAACAGGATAAATTAATTTGCTATTATTATTAACGACCAAAATATCATATTTTTTATGTAACCAATAGTCACGCGGCTCTTTTTTTTTTGTTTTCGATTTAGCACTATCTACATCTTTAATTAATTGATAATATCGCTCATCAGTTAAAAACACACTATTTTTCAAGTCACAATGACGCTTCAATAACTCGGCGTTAAAACGAACTTTCATTTCGCGCACTCGACTCTCCACGCACGACATTTTGTCAAAGACTGAAATGTAAATGATAAAATAGTATAAGAGTACCTATATGACTACGGTGACAAAATTATCGCGTTATCTGTCGGCAGTCGGAATTCTACTTTATAGATTACAGATTACAGATTACTAATGGATTTATATATTGTCAAATATCAATAGGTACTGATTATATGGATTTAATATATTACCTATACATTGTTTGGCATTTCATATAATGCTTAGGTAATTTAAACAATTTTTTAGATTGCCGTCTGTATTTGGTGTTATATAGAATTCCTAGACATTATATAAAATACCAATATTATACACATTGCCGCTAACATATAGATAGTAAGCACCATAGTTGTTAACATAATCATACTGTCATAAAATAAGTAAATGTGTTGTACCTAAGCACCTTATCAATAATGGGGTCATAAGTTGATATGTTATATTATGATATATGATATATTTTAGCATTGCAAAAACAAAAGAAAAAAAATTAAGCGCCTCCCCTACCAAAAAAAAAAAAAAATTCTGGCTATGGCACCGCTATATAATATATTATGGGTATTAAATATCTGCGCATGTTAAATTGCAACAATTTCCGAATTTCTATAAGGCTATCGGTTTCAAGTGAGATTTTTTAGGGAAGGCCAAGTCGCTGCTCGAGACGTTAAGTTTTTACCAATATAATAAGTATTATGTATTCCTTTTCCTGCTCATGACATTATTTTTCATTCTATTGTTCGGTTCGTGACTATCTCATTGCTGGTCAATACCACAGTGCCACCCCTATGGCTTATATATAATACAACATTATATTATTTACTGCGATCCTCGTACTAGCCAATACACTTGGGTTTTATGATATTTCACCAGATTGCACGAGCTTTGGCCACGTTAGTCGTGGTCATTACGAGAACAATAATAACGTACGACTGCGGAAACAAAGACTTTATTGTAATGCAAATGCTTAACAAAACATATTATTAACCTTTTGTAGGTAATGGCCAATGGAAGTTATGAATACTCGTATTTCAAAATATGTTCTAAATTTGTTATTGTCTGTCCCATTTGAAGGTCAAAATTACGGTGGAAATACACACAAAACAATTTGTATTGACCGACTGCGAGCGTTGACGAATCACAGTTTTATTTTGTTTTTGTTCTTTTGACGAGTGGCGTCATAACATTGACACCGTGTGTAATATGTGTATTTTCAAGTGTAGTTTACCGCTTGACGACCGTTAATTTTTTCATTAAGCTTTGTAGTAAAAAAAAAAAACCTGAAACCCGCGAATTACGTCCGACCCGAGAAATTTGTTTGTTCCGCCGGAAGTATATTTTATAGGTAGTCGGATGAAACTATAATCCGTTTTGGTAATCGAAATCATTGTTTCATAGTAAGATACGGGTAAGTACTTTATATTTTAAAAATAATTTTCACCTACTTGTAATCATTTGTATAGGTATACTAATGTGTTTTGAATTAAAATAAATATTGATCGGTATATTTAAACAAGTCGAAGGAATTAATAAGCTATTACCTATGAAATAGTACATACATGTATTTAATATGTGACGTGTGATATGTTTCTTATATCATTATATCGACACTAATATAAACTTTTGGCTTCTATTGATAACCGTTATGTGATATTTATTCGAAAACGATTAAATTAAAAGTACATAATAAAAATAAATATTGTATGAAAAGTTAATTTATTCTTGCTTATTCATATATATGCTGTTGAATTATTATTTTGATTAAATTTTTTTTTTTGCTTTCTTTGGTGTAATGGTGTAAATGTGTAATAATAAGTCTTCGTATGTGTAGCTATGAAAATGAAAGAGTAAAATTAATTTCATTAAACATGACAATACGACGTAAAATAGAATTTCTTAACCATAGGACATTAGGACATCATGTATTCATGTATTCATGTATAATATCGAAATATAACGAGTATATAGCTAACTAGTTGTAGTTAATTTCAGACTAGTGGGCACAGGAGTATCCTGCAGGCTGCAATATTTTGCTCTACTACTTCACCCTGGCACGCTATAGGTATATATTAGTACACATTAAATACATTATACATTATACATTTTAACTAATTAACTAGCTAATCGAATAAACGTCTACTTTTGTCAATCAAAATTATCAAGAAAATATTATGCTATATATAAACGTTTCAATGTACGTACCTAGTCATCCAAAAAGTTGACTTGAATTTGATTTTTTGCCAAAATGTGGTTTTGTAAATATATATATAATATATATATAATACATACTATATGACTATTCAATTATCTAAAAAATTAACATTTTTAAAAATGTTAATAATTAACGAGCATTTGATATAGCGAGTGTTTACTATAAGAATAACTTGCCAGACATAATTTTACAAGAAGTTTACAAGTCCATTATTGTAAGCTGAGTTACTCCTTTGTTTTAATACAGGTACTCCGTGTTAGTTTATTATACACTATTTTCAAAATCTTAACCATTTCATTTTATTATTTTTTATGGATCTTATATATTTTTTTTTTTTCATGTTTTTCTAATAAAGTATATTTAACGATTTATAAAGAGTTAGTAGTTATGATTAGATAATAATATTTGCTTTGCTTATTTCTTCTCCAACATATTTTATCCGAAAATTTGAACCAACAGCAACATATTATTATGCATAGTAGAACATATAGCATTGTTTAGTGAACAACATATTATATTATTTGCTTAACACATTAGCATATTGTTCAGCTAAGGTATTGAGTACTTGAAAAATATAAAAAGACCATCAACCATGCGTGTGTGGGCTTGTTATTAAAAATAAAAAAAAAAACGTTAGCAATACATGGTATTTGAACGTATTATTTTTATATACGTAAACATAAATTAGTAAGTAGGTACTTATACGCTATACGATAATGTCTGTATGCATGTAAGTACGTAATATATAAACGTAGATTCCAGCTTTTGGCACGTAACCTGCCAATAAATAACCATCAAAAGTGGTGCCTGATACTAATGCACTGGTTTGTAGTTGTGTTCGCGTGTTTATTCTTTCTACCGTCGAGAATTTCATATTATTATCATCAATAATAACAATAATAATAATAATAATAAATCATACAGATAGCGATAAACTAGTCCTGTACGAATATATAGCAATTCACACTGAAAGACGTAAAAATAAAAATATGTTTAGTTATACTATTATTATAATATAGTATATTAATCTGAACGAAAAAAATTCCTATTGCATCATAAAGTAATATATTATATTATTAACAATACTAACAAGTTATATTATTATGAGGCACGATGCACATTATATAAGTGCATAATATGTGGTAGCGTCGTAGCGAGATGCACTCGCTTTCATTCCCGTCGTCGATAATAAAAGAAACCGGGGAGCTCGCTGTGTTGTATAGTATAGGTGTCGAGTGTACCTCATCACTGAGTAATTCACTGTAATAGATGTGTGAAATTTGAATAATAATTGAACAATAATAAATCCATAGCGTACGATGCTCAACGGAGACGGTCTGTCTGCATACTATACTTCTAGGATATTTTATTATATTGTATTTTTATAATTGAAGGGTGATAATTCAAAACGTCGGATTCCCAAAAATTTGAAAATCGAGTTAAACATCGACTGACGATTATTGTGTAAAAATACAAGAAGAATTCAAATCTGGCATAAAATTCGATTTCTGTAGCAAAATCAATTTAAAAATCGCCATTCAATTCAAAATGTGTCTTCTCGCGTAAAATCAAAACGTGCGATTACCATGTTGAAACCAAAACGCAATATTGCCCTTGTTATTTTTTACCACATTTTATATTATCAATAATTTAAAACACGTTGTATTATACTATTATAATATTCAATATTATGATTCATCTTCTATTTAGCTTTTCAGAGTCTAAATAACTATTATTAATTATTGAGTAATTCAAGTGCATTAAATTCGAGTTTATAGCACTTAATAAATACTTTATTCCTTAATCAATCGACAGACATTTTTAAGTTTGAAATCCCTGCTTCTTTACAAACAAAATGTGAAAGTCCACATTGCCATCATGTTCTCACTCAAGAACAACAATTAAAAAAAAAAAAAATTACTAAAATATTTACTACATAATTTTATCAATTAACTCCTATATTTACTTTATCATCTAAACCTCACTTATTAACAGTGATCATTATTTATTATTACCACTAATATTATATATAACCTATTCTACCATTACTCTTTTTAAATTGTAGAAAATAATTTTATTATTTATTATTTGTTTAAAATTCCAAAAATAAAAAACACTATACCAATACTAAGTTTAGATGACATCAATAAGAAAACTTTATAATCATGAAAAAAGTTTGGAAAACCCCTTTTTGCAGGGGGGCATAACTCTTTTATTTTTTAGTTATGGCTTATGAGAAATTTAACTATTTAACAAAATCGAATCTACGGCACATTTGTTGATATATTTTAAAAAACTATTAAATTTGTATTGTAATTTTTTTTTTAATTTCAAAGCTATTTTAGTGGACTATCAACTAACATACCAGAAGTATACAAACTATTTTTATGAAATCAAAAAAAGTAAACAAAAATTATCATTTTTAAAAATAACAAGAGTAATAAAGTAATAAAAAAAATAAAAGAGTTAAACCCTCCACGCTTCGAAAGGGTTTTTTTCATAACTTTTAGTATATGTTGTGTCATATTATGAAGCCAGTCATGACTTCCCTTAGCCCCCGTGACACATTCTATTATAGTATACCAAGGGTGGCCAAAAAGTCGACCTCGGTCGACTTGTCGATTTTAGAAAATTTCAAAGTCGATCTCTTTGTGTTAGAACTTGGCTATACACTTAGTAAACACAGTTAAATATTCACATTTTGAACTAACCTGTTTATGCGAAATGGAATTTTCTCACATTGAAAGTCATACCTATATGAAGATGAATGACTACTGCACTTCTTGATGATTATTTGGAGCAGCGGTTGCGTTAGTCGTCAGTGACTATTCCCCGGATTAAAATCAACCGATCAACGACGGACAATGAAGTACTCCTACGCAAATAATATCATTTTATTTTGAATTATTTGATTTATTTTGAAATTATTTAGATTTTTAATGTAAAACACTCAGTTTTATTCAATGTCATTAATTGCGTATACAAATATATGTTTATCGCCATAACAATAGTTGCCTATACATATAATAGGTAGACTTAAAAATAAAAATGTTTTTAAGGCAGTCGATCCCCGAAGGAAAATTCAAATAGCCACAAAAAGTTGTACGCCATGATCGTATACA